TGCAACCTACTTGTATGGACAACCGTTTACCTTACTCACAGATCACAACAATTTTGGGGCACTGCGCGTGCAATCTAATGTGCCACCAGATAGGAGTGGTGTGTTTAGTACTATTGTTATCAGTTTAATCACTGTTACGCCCCCTATCCGTTGATGTGGAGCAAGACGCAGCAGCAGAAGAGTTCTAAGCCGAGGAGGTTATGGAAGAGGATGGAGTAGGAGGAGTAGAGGAGGTGGCAGCGTACTGGCAGAGTACACGCTGTAGGGCTGACACACCTGCTTGAAGATAACTAACTGCTATTCAATCTATAACAGTGAAAGTTTTTGTTTTAAATCCGCCATGTGACACAGGATCTAATTAGTGGCACTTGTCATTTATCCACTGTTACGAACACACCCGCTTTTAAGGACACCGACTGCTATCTCAATTCCTATAACAGAAAAAGATTATTTTTTTAAATCCAAACTATTGTGACACCAGATCCAATTAGTGGCACTTGTCAGCATATCCACCTCGTTAGCGCAACACACCCGCATGACACTGGACTGCTATTCAATCTATAACAGTGAAAAAAAGATTATTATTTTAAATCCAAACCATTGTGACACCAGATCTAATTGGTGGCACTTGTCAGCGTATCCACTGTTAGCGTAACACACCCGCTTTACGGACACTGACTGCTATCCAATCTATAACAGTAAAAAAAGTTTTTTGTTTTTAAATCCAAGCTATTGTGACACCAGATCTAATTAGTGGCACTTGTCAGCGTATCCACTGTTAGCGTAACACACCCGCTTTAAGGACACTGACTGCTATTCAATCCATAACAGTAAAAAAAGTTTTTTGTTTTTAAATCCAAGCTATTGTGACACAGGATCTAATTAGTGGCACTTGTCAGCGTATCCACTGTTAGCGTAACACACCCGCTTTAAGGACACTAGCTGCTATTCAATCTATAACAGTGAAAAAAGAGTTTTGTTTTTTTAAATCCAAGCTATTGTGACACCAGATCTAATTAGTGGCACTGGTCAGCGTATCCACTGTTGGCATAACACACCCGCTTTAAGGACACTGACTGCTATTCAATCTATAACAGTGAAAAAAGAGTTGTTTTAAGTAAAGCTATTGTGACACCAGATCTAATTAGTGGCACTGGTCTGGCTGATATCCACTGATGGCAGCTACCAGCTTTAAGGACACGAGCTGCTATTCAATCATAACAGTGAAAAAAAGTTTTTGTTTTTTTAAATCAAGCTATTGTACCAGATCTAATTAGTGGCGCTTGTCCATGTCCATTAGCGTAACACACCAGCTTTAAAAAGGACACTGACTGCTATTCAATCTATAACAGTAAAAAAAGTTTTTGTTTTTAAATCCAAGCTATTGTGACACCAGATCTAATTAGTGGCACTTGTCAGCGTATCCACTGTTAGCGTAACACACCAGCTTTAAGGACACTGACTGCTATTCAATCTATAACAGTGAAAAAAGTTTTTTGTTTTTAAATCCAAGCTATTGTGACACCAGATGTAATTGGTAGCACTGACTGGGGAAATGGGCACAGTATGCACTGTGAGCCTGACACAGAAGCTGGCAGCAGTGGCAGACAACTGACTGCTATTCAATCTATAACAGTGAAAAGGTTTTTTGTTTTTAAATCCAAGCTATTGTGACACCAGATGTAATTGGTGGCACTGACTGGGGAAATGGGCACAGTATGCACTGTGAGCCTGACACAGAAGCTGGCAGCAGTGGCAGACAACTGACTGCTATTCAATCTATAACAGTGAAAAAAGTTTTTTGTTTTTAAATCCAGGCTATTGTGACACCAGATGTAATTGGTGGCACTGACTGGGGAAATGGGCACAGTATGCACTGTGAGCCTGACACAGAAGCTGGCAGCAGTGGCAGACAACTGACTGCTATTCAATCTATAACAGTGAAAAAAGTTTTTTGTTTTTAAATCCAAGCTATTGTGACACCAGATGTAATTGGTGGCACTGACTGGGGAAATGGGCACTGTGAGCCTGACACAGAAGCTGGCAGCAGTGGCAGACAACTAAGTGCATTTACATTACATAGAAAAAAAAAATCCAAAAAAAGCATACCCTTATCCCTAACCTAGCTATGCTTTTCCCTATCTTATGAACAGCAGCTACACTTTCCCTCCTCTTACTAAGCATGCAGCTTGAGAATGAATCTAAAATGGATGCTGTCCAGTAGGTGGGAGGGTCTGCTAGGGAGGCTGTGCTGCTAATTGGCTGGAATGTGTCTGCTGACTGTGAGGTACAGGGTCAAAGTTTACACAATGATGACGAATAGGGGGCGGGTCGAACCGCGCATATGTTCGCCCGCCGTGGCGAACGCGAACATGCTATGTTCGCCAGGAACCGTTCGCCAGCGAACCGTTCGGTACATCACTACTCTGCATCAGTTTAAACAGGCAATACCATGCCCGATCAGGTAGCACCTATATAAAGAAAATAAATAGTAGCACAGTCGTCAGATCTAATGGAGGGGTTCTCTCCTCTTACCCAGTCGCTACGAAGCAGCGTCTCCTAGACATTCTAGTGAGGTAGCCATAGCCCTTATTGCAAGAGCGGTATCATCAGTGGCAAAACACGGTATGTAGGACAGACCTCCATATTGAGTTGAATGTAGGAGGGATGCCCCTGTAAGAAGACATTGGTGCTCTGTACTGGTATAAGCCTGTAAGATGAACAAAGGGCGACGGTAGCAGGATAAATAACCATGTTGAGCAGCGTCAAGAGACGGGTTCGCCCTCCAAGAAGGGAAACAGAATCCAGTACTGTAATAAACTGCAACACAAACAGTAAACTGATGGGAACAGTATAAGTAGTCATATTGGACTGTGCACATGAGGGGAGCTCAGTAGCGGGTTGAGCGTATGAGAGTGCCGCACTCTCTAATAATGTAATCGGCATCCATCCGTGTCAGCATTAGGCTGACAGTATGAGAGGGCCGTACCCGCTAATAATAAAATTAGTGTCTATATCAGTGTCTGGCTCCTTATATGAGAGGGGGTCACCCTCAAATCATGCATTTTGCATCAATATCGTCATCGGGCTGAGGTTATGGGAGGGCCGCGCCCTCTAATAATAAAATTAGTGTCAGGTTCAGTATATGAGATGGTGTCACCCTCTAATCATGTAATTTGCATCAGCGTCTGGCTGAGGTTATGGGAGGGCTGCACCCTCTTATAATACAAACCAGAGTCCATATCAGTCTCAGACTGACTGTATGCGAGGGGCTCACGCTCAAAACACCGATGACCGCGTTCGACTAAACAAGATGGCCGCCGCCACGTGTTCGACTATACGAACGGCGGCCACCCAGCATTCGAAAACTAACCTGCGGTTAACCACCAGCCTGGGAGGTAAATTGCCGGCACACTCCCCTTGTGTGTGGCCCGCCTGTTCGGTAATTTGTTCGGTAAACCCCATTTACCGAACAATATAGAAAAAGACACGAACAAAGAATTTTCACAGTCTGGGGACATAGTTTTAAAGGGGCATTGTTCCAATATGGCCATATAATGTTTTTAGGGCCATACACCCCATGGCCATAGTCATAAGGCAAGAGGCTGGCAATTAGGCCCCTCTAAAAGCCAGGGGCAAAAGGCAGTTTGTCACATAAAAAGCCAGTGACAAAGGGCAGTTTGTCACAAGCGTTCATATATGTTTTTGTGTGAATAATGCAAAAAACAAATATGAACAATTACTTTGGTCAGTGTTTGAGACTAAGTGGCTATTAAAAAAGACTGGACATACCCCACTTGCAATACCTTGGGTTGTTTTCTTTTGTAAATGGTATTCCATCAAGGGATAATTCTCATTCCTGGGCTACTATATGTGAAAAAAAATGAAAGGGAAGCCTTATATTTGACTCTCTAACTTTCCAAAACACCATAAAACCTGTACATGGGGGTACTGCTATTTCACTGAACACAAATATTAATGTTTCAAAACAGTAAAACATATTACAGCAATAATATCATCCATGAAAGTGCCATTTGTGTGTGATAAATAAACATTACTTTCACTGACGATATCATCATTTCAATACAATTTACTGTTTTGAAACACTAATATTTGTGTTCAACGAAGTCTCTCGAGTAAAACAGTACCCATGTACAGGTTTTATAGTGTCTTGAAAAGTTACAGGGTTAAATATAATGCTCTCACATTAAATTATCTGGACTTTCTGCCTGGGTTGTCAGGCACGTCCCTCAAATTTAATTAATAAAATCACATGATTGTGTTAAAAGATTACATAAATATACATGTAGAATTTTAATATATAAGCATATATATATATATGTATATAAATTCTATGTGTAAACTTATATAATTATTTATGTAATTATATATATTTATATATATTTTTGCAGTTATTTGTCATTCTTAGTGTATTGAAATTGTGTATATATAATTTATTTTAATTTATTTTAATTATTTATTTTATTATTTTATTTATTTATTTATTACTTTAATTATACACACATTATATATATGTATTTGTGGTCTGGGCAAAAGCTGTAATGAGAGCATATTAGAAGTAGATAAGTAAAGTGATATAGTAATGTGAAAAAGTTGGTTGTTGTGTACCGGAACTGATGATGCAGTGGGCCTGTAATAGAAGAGGGAAAAAGAGTATACCATACAGAATTATACAGCCTACAAATCAAGCATTTTACAATATGTTACATATACATGTTATGGAAGACTTGGCGTATTTAAGAACAGGTTGATGTATATATCTGGAGTAAGCTGAGGCCTCCATAGTCTCAACATCCCATTAATATGTACCAAATGGAGGTATGGTTGTCGGCACTAATGTGGAAGGAGTGACCTGCTTAATTAGTTAAAATATTTAAGTAAAGGTGGCAAAAGAAGTGAAATTGTGTGAAACAAAAGTGAAACAAGATCTGCTTGAGGCACATGCAGATACGTGAGAAATGCCATAGGTGAGGCAAACAATTAAACGACCCTTGAGTTATGACATAGGAACTGAGGATAACATAATCGCATATACCGACATAACAGTGAGTACAATAGTTCGGAATAATGAGCCGCCAGAGCATGAGTGAATATCTGCGAGCACATGTATACACATATATTTGCGTATACACACACCCTTAACCACTGTCTACCTAGATATATATTTACATATGAAGATACGTATGATGTATATCGTGGTTATCTATGATTTGCGAGCCCGGCATCAAACTGATCCAGTCAGTAGCGACACCTGTTATTAAGGGGAGCTAAGGTGAATGAGAGTATAGAAAACGATAATTCTTAGTAAGGGCCTAATACCGTAAGCTAAAGGAGGCATGCTGTGATGCTATGTTTAGATGAGAAGCTGAATTGTACTAGTAGAGAAAATCGCCCTGAATGAACATTCTTCTATGTACGAGGAGGGAAGTGGTTCAACCCAAATATTATTATAATAAGATATATCCCATCTATTTGTGTGGAATGCATGTAATCTGGATCCTAATGTATTTGTGATGTAGACAGATATACCATATACCATTGGATATCTTGAACATACAGAAACATGCACTGAATTTTAAATTATGTAACGTATGCTCGAATGCATATGGAGGACCTTGCGAGGGTCAGAGTAAGGGGACAGCCCTGTGTAAAAGTCAGAGTTTGAATCTATGTACAATACATAGGAGAACGGAGTGAGGTCTTGAATTGATATGAACGTGAATGAAATGTAATGTTGAATACCTGTAATCCAATTACACAGGGCAACCTAAATATACATTCCTACTTTATCTAACCAGCTAATGGACTCTACCTGACAGGTATTTGCAAATATGGACCTATACCTGTTACAGATAACAAAAACTACTGTGTGTACCTAATATAGTTCATTAGGTAATGTTCTAATCCAGTATAACTGGACAGAAGGAACTTACCAATACCTAATAGTACCAGCCATGTAACTTACACACATTTAATTTTACAGGCTCCACATAGTTATGTCCGATTTAATTAAATCTGCTTGCTATAATTATACAACAGGGAAGGATTCTAATATTAGACACAGTTCTAATACTAAGCCGTTGTTTCCCTACTAAAAGCCTGGTTAGTGTTACCCGTATATGTGAAAAATATGTGTGTATGTGGTTTGATAATTGGTTTATATAGCTGTGCTGGTAGCTTATGTGCCATTCAAAAGTACTGCTGTGATGCAAGGTATAGTCCAAGATCTAATAGAAGTAGGACTAGACATGTCCCTTGTGTGACGTTTCAGACCTAGTAGGAGTGCAAGGAAGGGACAGGACCCTCCACCTTCCTGTCACAGAGATGTGTTAAACAGTATGAAGAATTTGTGTGTACACTTACGACATACTGGTATACTAGCTATTGCCAAGTGCCGAAACCATTAAACAAGTCGGTGACTAGATGCCAGGAGGCTTGAGAGGCTTTATCTATGCATTGGTGCAAGGGGATTACGTGGCCACCGAACTTGTGGCAGATTGTCGACCTCTCTGTAACTTCTAAAGCATAAGATAGAATGGGCATAACAGGTGAGGCCCTCTCTATGCCACCATGCGAGGCGACTAACTGTGAGTTGGGCCGATAGGTGTAATACCTCCGAGTATGAGGATGGATGTTGGTCTCGCGGGACCACTAACATAAGGCATAGAGGCCTGAGAAAGTATAAGCTATCGGACTCCGGGTGCCCTTCCAGTCAGTAATGTAACTAAATAAGGGAGGCAAGGTAAGGTTTTGAATGAGTATGTGTAATTTGACGTATCTGAGAACGAAGAGTCAGAAATGCGGTATGACACAGAAGGTGAATTGGTGCAGAACTACAGGGTTAACGAGATATAATAGGTATTTTGGTATGTTATGTGAAAGTAGATATCCTGCTCTGCCTAACAGGATATGTAGCAATGTAACGTTCAGCCATAAGTAGGAGGGTGTGCAGTAAATCGTAGATACCTAGCACCTAAAGGTACGATGATGTAACGTACTTGAGTGAAATGTAAGGCCAGCTCATGGATCCAACCGAATAATGTATAAAACCTACTTAATGAATGTAGTATAAGGGGTATGATGAGTAATGTTGCCCTAAAATGCTGAGTACTCTGTAACCTCTAATAACCATGTTATCAGTAATGCCCTTGATATGTATATCCTCTAACCTATGACCCTTATGGAAGAAAAAATGTATCCAAGTGAAAGCAGCAGTCCTAATAATGAACCTAAAGATATAATGAATTATGGGAGAAGTATGTTCGTGGCCCTGCCCGGGACATCCTCGAGAGTAGAACAACAGACTTAAGATAAAACAGTAGTGCTCGTAATATAGTCAAGAGAGTATACTATACACTTGAGTAGAATTGAGGCAAGCAGTGAAGGAAGCCACCATAACAGGTGAATTAGGATAAGGATCCTAAACTTAGTTAAATAATTATACACCAAGGCATTAATTAAGGTAACTTACTATACAGAACTAGTGATAACATCTAATCCCAAGTTAAGTTTCAAAGACCCGGTCTCCCTTGAATATAGAAACAGATACAAGAAATCATAGTCTTACATTAGGAATGGAATGCATAGGTGCAGGTTATACAGTGTTGATGTTGGACATAGGTTAAGGAATCGAGCCTTAGTGACATGAGTACAGTAATGCACCGGGTGAGCATTTAAAGGCTTAGTTGAGTGAAAACCAAATAGTGTTTATTTAAGCAAACCAGTGTATCGTCAGCATCTACTGACAAAGCATGAAAAACAATGAACAATGTGTTTGCATTACCTAAATTAAATACTATCTTCAACAAAACATAAGACTAACTTAAAATATTGACATGTGCAATATCAATACTGAATAATATAGGCTGAAATTTAACACTCAGTATTAACCGAAACAAAGAATATATAAACATTCCGTAAGATTACGTGTAGAAAATAAACATTAAGGACTACACAAAAGTAATGAGGGCCATATGTTGGCCAGAATAACTGTAACCACTAACCAAATGCACAGTGAATTGTGAATAGTAGCAGTGATGGAGCTCCAATGCAGAGTGCTCTGTGGCTCTGAAACAGATATAAAACCTGTAATACTGCATCCGATTGCTATAATATGTATATACACGTATAAACCCACCTAATTGCTTCTGGAGAGCAAAATTTTAGAGTCGTGCCCGAAAGATCAATGGCCTTAATGTAACTTAAGTTAGAAGGCAGATAACCTCCCTATGGTTTGAACAATAAGAACTGGCAATTAACCTGAGTAACACAATTGAGTCCCCTAGAAAGAAAAACACGCGTAACGTCAGAATATACTGATAAGGCGTGAAAAAATAATTAACAAGCAAGCGCTTGTTTGACCTGAACTAATCACTTTCAAATATCAAACTTCAAATATAGTCCGTGCAATATCAAAATTGACCACTAAAGGTCGACATTAAGCATGCAGTAATTACCTGACTTTAATTAAAGGGCCACTCCAGGCACCCAGACCACTTCTACCCATTGTAGTGGTCTGGGTGCCAACTCCCACTACCCTTAACCCTGCAAGTGTAATTATTGCAGTTTTTTATAAACTGCAATAATTACCTTGGAGGGTTAACTCCTCTAGTAGACAGCCACTAGAGGGCACTTCCGTGTCCATAGCACAGAAAACCTGTGCTAGAGCATCGCTGGATGTCCTCACACTTTGTGAGGACCTCCAGCATTGCACATTTCCCCATAGGAAAGCATTGAAAAGCAGTTTCAATGCATTCCTATGGAGAGCTCTAATGCGCGTGCGCGGCATTGCCACGCATGCGCATTAGGTTTCCTCAGCCGGCAGGTGGGATCAGTCTTGCCCACCGGCTGACGTAATCAGTGGGATTTTCACCCCTTCAGCTACCGGGGGATGGGGTGTGGGAGGGAGAGAGAACCTGCAGTGGCATGAAAACGTATTGTTTTCCTGGCACTGGAGAGTCCCTTTAAACTCCTGTGCAATATCAAAACTGACCACTAGAGGCCGACATTAAAAACATACAGTATTTAACTGAAAAAGTGAAGTAAAACAATC